TGTCCTACATATCTATAGAGTCTTGAATATTCTTCTAATCAAACTAGATTAGATTTTCTGTAAGAAAGTGAGAAGTTGTTTTTTCCTGCCAACATAGTGAAAGGAAGTAGAAATTCACAATAGGAAAATAAGCTAGATGGCCACACACATCAATCTGAGTTTCAAAGAAAGAGAAGTCACAGACATTTGCCTCTTCTGATGTGATACAGCAGGAAACATGCATTTTTGACAAAAATAAAACATGAACATCATCATGGATCTAATTCCTAGCTAATAGAAAATAGAAATGGTGAAAGAACCCATAAGTGGCAGCATATCAGTAATGTCAGTGAAATCCAGAAGGTTGGAAATAGGAAATATTACCTGCTTTTCAACAAATAATTCTCAAAAAAAGGAGGAATCATTTATAGAATAAAAAAAGATGGAAAATATATGTTAGTCAAATGCCATGTGTGGACTTTGCATGAATCTTGATTTTAATTAAAGCACCATCCCCCAGTAGTATGAAATAATTGGGGAAATTTAAATACTTATGAGGTATTCAGAAATTACTATTAACTTTTTAGATGTATCAAGAGCATGTGGCTATACTTTTAAAAGTCTGTGTCTTGTAGAGTAGCTTTCAAGAAATTATTAAAGAAAGGTGATTTAATATATAGAATAAACTTTCAAATAAACTAGTTGAGGGACACAGTGGGTAGGGTAAAGATCAATCTGGATTGGCCATAAGCTGGTAATTGTGGGAGCTATTGTAATTTACTATTCTCTCTAATGTGTTTGAAAATTTCCAAACTACAAGGTGAAAATATTGGGGGTCACAGTATTGAGATAAATGGGATTCTGGAGGGCTATATTCCTGCCACATGCTCTTCTAAACTCCTCCTTAGTTTCCCACCTAGGGGTGACTGCTGACCTAGTTGAAGAAGTCCTCTGTAGGTGATGCTGAAACTGCCTTTCTACCTGGGTTCTTCCCAACTCTCTGATGCTTTGTTTGCTAACAGAGCACTTACAAAGGTTCAATTCTGAGTCACAAACCCAATGGCCCCCCGCTCTGTGACCATGGCAGTGAGAGACATCCTTCATCAGCCTCTCCTACTTGAAAGCTCTATGATGATGCAGCTACTGATTTTCTTCTAAGGCTGCAATCATGTTCTAAACTGTGCATCCTCCTTCTAGCCCTCCATGGAAGCTGCTTTGTGGGTCCAGGGATCAGCATCAGCTCTCTGTTCTTTCTGTTAACTACCCCATCTGAGAGGCTTTGTCTGCTTTAAATAAAGCCCTCACTTTTGTGTGGAGTACCCTCCACTCAGCATCTATCCTTGCCTCCTTCCTGAGCATTTTTGTCTCATTTCATTGGCTGGTTGCCAGACATCCCTACCTGGAAGTTCTGTTATTTCTTCAGATCCAATATTTCTACAAAATGAATTCCTTCTCTTACTGCCCTCTCCCATATTTCCTGAGGTACCATATTTACTGTCAGCTCTTCTTTCATAATAGATAGTCTCTTACATTGATCTTCTTTTTCCATCCTCACCTCCAACACTCATGTTCAGGCCCTTCTCTCTTACCTTCTTGCTGAGTTTCCTAGCATCCTTTACTCTGTGGACTGGCATCTGGAAAGTGTCCCTCAACCACTCTGCTTTGGTGCTCACCCCTCCAGGGCCATCAGAGAGTTTCTGTTTTTTTGCAAGATGATATTCTTAACTTATTTTTTCACCATCCTCTCTCTGTCTCAAACTACTCTTCCAGTCTTATTTCTCACCACACAAGTTCCACACTAACCTCCTCACTGACAACATCTTTCACCCAATTTCTGAACCTCTCCAGTTCCTCCCTCAATGTTTCAAGATCCAGCTCACTGGAACTCATGGATAGGGACTCCATTGATAGTTTGCCTCGCCTAACCTTCACTTTGTACATCGTGAAAATATGACTCTGAGCCAACTAGGTTTTTTTAAAAATATATTTTATTGATTTTTCACAGAGAGGAAGGGAGAGAGATAGAGAGCTAGAAACGTCAATGAGAGAGCAACATCGACCAGCTGACTCTTGCACACCCCCTACCGGGGATGTGCCCGCAACCAAGGTACATGCCCTTGACCGGAATTGAACCCGGGACCCTTCAGCCCGCAGACCGACGCTCTACCGCTGAGCCAAACCAGTCTCGGCTGAGCCAACTAGGTTTTTAAGGTGTATGGCCTTCAACCAGCATTCAACCTCTCTTGTGCATTTTAAAATGGAGATAAACCCAACTCAAATGCCCACCCTGTCTGGGTAAGCTGAGCACTGTGCTGAGCCATTGGAACCCATAACAATTAACTTGGTATTTTCACCCATAGTTTTCCCCCCATCTCTTCATGAGAATATGAACCTTTAAGGTTGAGTCATTTACCTCATGGCTCTCAGTACTTAGCACAGTGTTGAGAACTGAAAGTGTTCAGTAAGGGTTGTTGAGTAAATTAATCATTTATAATTTTCTTCCCTCCCCCTAGTCCTGATGCCTGCATGCCTGAGCATGTGTCAGCAGGTTTGCTAGGAGGTGCCACTTTCAAACATTCTGCCTTTTTTTTTTTCAATAAGTGTACTTGTCTGATTGTGTACTTGCAATTTTTGTTTTAAAAATATCACTGACCGGGATGCACTTTTGGTTTTCATGAACTGGAACTTTCTAGATGATGTCCCTCGCTGGCATAAGCAACTTGGAGTGAGTGATGGGCCCACAGGAAGGACTGGGTGGGTGCATGCTGGGAAGATGTGTGTCTATTACATATAATAACCCAGCTCGAGTTTTCTCCCTACTTCTCCAACACATTTCATGTAACCTGCCTTGTCCTTTTCAAATATGCTCTGAAAGATAATTTATAAACATACTTTTTAAAAATATATTTGAAACATTAAAATTGAAAGAAAAATGTTATTATTACAATAGATTTTCATTTATTAAACATATTTGGACACTTGAGCTATGTCAGCAACTGTTCTGTGAATTGGGGGGTCGCAAGTTTAAGAATTATATTGTCCCCCAAAGAGTTCCTACTCAATGGAGAGACAGACAAACCCACATAAAGTGATTTCAGCTCCTCAGTGGTTTAAGAACAACATCTTTGAAAGCAGAATATGCTGTTTTTCGAGGGCTGCTGTGATAAAGTACTGCAAACTGAATGGCTTAAAACAGCATCAATTTATCATCTCACAGTTCTGGAGGCTAGAAGTTTAAATCAAGATGATGGTGTGGTTGGTTCCTTGGAAGGCTGTGAGAGAGACTCTTTTCCATGCTTCTCTCCAAACTTCTGCTAGTTTGCTGGGAGACTTTGGCTCATAAATGCATCACTCTAGTCTTCATGCCTTTATCTCATTGTGTCTCTATCCCTTTACATTATGTTCCCTCTGTGCATGTCTGTCTCTCTGTCCAAATTTCCCTGTTCCCTAAGGACACCAATCATACTAGTTCAAAGCCTTCCTTAATGATTTCATTTTTACTTTATTATCTTTGTAAAAATTGTTTCCAAATAAGGTCACATTCTGAGGCACTAGTGCTTAGAACTTCAGTATATCTGTTTCAAGGGGGACACAATTCAACCCATAATATACAGGAAAGGGGGGGAAAAAAGACAAATTCCAAGTTCTGTACCAGGCTGTGTTACCCTTGAGCATTTCCTTAAACCTTCAAAGTATAGAATCAGGATGTGAACATCTCCCTTGCAAGGCTGTTTTGAAGATCAACTTAGTTAAAAAGATGGTGCCCTTAGCAACTTGTTTGGTATACAGTATGTATTCAATAAAAATTAACTACTATTGTTATAAAATCTACATGGCATATGTAATACATATGCCAATTCCATTATATATTTTAACTTAATTTTTCTTAATTAAAATATTGTGACTGAGGCTATAGCATGATTTTTTTTTGGAATACAATTTTTATATTGATATTATTAACAAGGCATAGGATGAGCATAGACAGAAAACAAATTAGAAATTTTAATAGATTTCTCAATTTTCTTATCTAGCTATCTGTTTGTCTCTTTGTCTGTCTATTCATGTTCCTCAAAACAAGCCAATTTGTTGTATGATGGAGATGGCAAAGATGGAGATATCACATTTCCTCACCTTCTAAAGTTTATAGACTGGAAGGAAGGTAGAAATATATACACCATAGTTTTAGTTATAATAAGAAATGTGTTAGAGTAGAGGGATGAATGGATGCCTGAGAAAACCAAATGGAGGCATTTAGCTCAATGTGGAAGCTCTAGAAAGGCTGCTCTTCCACATTGAGCCTATATATATATATATATATATATATATATATATATATATTAATTTAAACTTTGCAGAAACCTCTGAGAAATCCTCATTCTCATTTTATAGAAGAGGAAGCCAACCATGGATAGTCTGCATGACTTGCTGTAGCTTACCTGGCAGACCCTTCTTTTAAATACCCCACAAACTGAGTGTCAAGCTTGAGGAAATATCTCAGAGAGAGAGAATCAGAGCTGCCAGCAGGGATGTATGTCAGGGTGAAAGATTAGGATTAGCTCTGGGGGGAATCAGTGATAGGTGTTCAGCTGGGAATAATGTTAACTGTGAACCCAGATGCTTCTGTGGGAAGGATAGACTATAGGGGCAAGCATGGAGCTGAAGAAAGAATGCAGGAGCCTCTTAAAGTTGTCCTGAGGACTTCCTGGGGTTCTCAGTCTTGGGTCTCCCTCAGAAACTGTCTTTAAGAACTACTATCAGAGATGTCTCTGGGGACAGGCAGCCACAGGATAAAGAATTATACACACAAGTACAATGGGAGCCCTAAGTTGTGAATCTTATTTGATAAAACAAACAAACCACACACACACACACACACACACACACACACACACACACACAAACACTAACACAAAATGCTTTATTGAATACCTGCCAGGAACAGGGTAGTGAGGAGGGAGGGACAGAAGTTTTTAATTTTTCCACCATTTAATCCTCACAGGGACCCTCTTTCTCCTTAGCAGGTCAGAAAGCCAAGGCTCTGCAGAGTTGATATCCTTGTCAGAGACCTTGTGATTTAAGTGGAATGGCCTCCTTTCCAGCGTAGGTCACATTGACCTAAAAGACTGCCCAGGTGCACTGGACCCAGCTGTTCTTTAGTCCAGCCAGTGAGGAGTAAAGCACAAGTATGGCCCAGAAAGCCCAGGGACTGAATGCAGGGCCTTTTTGCTGCACGACACCACCACCCCATGATTCCATGGGAGTAAAGATGAGGAGGTGGGCAGTACACAGAGTCCATCTTGCTTCCAATTTTTCAGGAAAAAGAATGGATTTCAATCATAATAAATTTCTGCCATTTTAAAGATTTTGATCTACTAATGCAGTTTTGCTAATGGTTTGACCTAACAGTTTTAACAAAACTTACAAGAGACTTTCACAATCTATTTTAATTATAAAAGCTTGTCTTAAACCCTTAAAATTCTAGTTGTCTCAGAAGGGAGGTGCCAGAAGAATGAGCAAAGTACAATTAAAGAATGAGGGACAAACGTGTCTAACTTGTTGGAGAGTTAGAGGTGGTTGTGAAGGACGAGTAGGAGTTTTGCAGGCAAAGGAGCTTAGAGGAAGACTATTCCAGGCAGAGAACCTGTATGCTGTCTCTTAGCCATGAATTTACTGCTTATGTCAATGGCATTAACTTCTCTTACTGAATCGGTTGGGGAGTTAGACTGCTTTATCTGTCTTGCCCTCTGCTGTGTCCACAATGTCAAGAGCAGTGCCTGGCACAGAGTAGTCAGTCACTCAGTAAATACTTGTGATGTTGAACAAATGGCATCACTCTGCCCAGCAGTGACTGGCTAAAGGAAAGGTCATTTTCTGGCTTATTTCACTTAGCACAATGTTCTCCAGTTCCATCCATGCTGTGGAAAATGGCAAGAATTCCTTCTTTTTTACAGCAGTGTAGTATTCCATTGTGTAGATGTACCAATAAGTTAAATAACCCAGTCAGTGAAAGATAAATACCACATGATCTCAATCATTTGTGGAATATAAAGAACATTATAAACCGTTGAACAAAAATAGATACAGAGGCAAAGAAGCATCAGATAGACTGTCAAACTAGAGCAGGAAGGCAGGGGAGGGTTAGGGAAAGGGTCCAAATGACTTTATGCATGCATATAAGCATAACCAATGGATGCAAGACACCGTGAGGGAGAGGTGAGGGCAAGTGCTGGGACGGGGGTAGGAGATGCTGCGGGTTGGGGGAGGAGAGATCAATGCGGGGGGGAAAGGAGACATATGTACTACTATTTATAATACTTAAACAATAAAATAAAAAATAAATAAAGGTAATTTTTACTCTCTTGGTTCTCATACTGTCAGTCTGTTGCAACACCTTCTCTTCTCTTTCTGCTCCCATCCTGTTAGCAGGAATCTCATTACTAAACTAGTGCAGTGTTCCCATCAAGAATCTTTTCACTTCATGTATGTGAGCACTCCCTCTATCCTACCCAGTTAGAATATTTTCTTCCTCTGCTCAAAAAACCATCAGTGCTGAGTACAAATATATCTCAGCTTTCAAGATATGACAATATATATGAGCACTCTTCTTTTTCATATGAGCTTTTTCTAAGCTTATGTCTTTTTTAAAGCTCTATGCTGCAGCAAAATGAAAATATTTCCTGTTTCCATGACATGGTCTCTATTTCCCTCACCTTTAAACTTCTCCTTCATGTGGTTTCCAGGATGTGGAAGCTCTCTCCCCGCTTTCAAGTACACCTATTGTGAGATCTATTCATCACCCAAAGGCGAACTTGGTCACCACTACCTCCATGAGTCCTTTCTGATCAAGCCTTTCTAAAACTTTGCATTTTTGTGATATACTTGGAATTTTATTCTCTGTACCAATATTTCTACCCCAGATCCTTGAATAGCATAGAAATTCTACTATATTTGTGGGATTGAACTAAGCACCAGTTATGTACCAAGTCCATCACGAGATGCAAGAGTTACCATCTGAGGATGATTCAAGAGAAAGCATGAGGAATTACTTTGTATGCACATTTGAGGTATATAAAGGTGATGAAAAAGATGATGATAGTGATGGTGTAATGATGTGATAATGGTGAATGTGTGGATTATTCACATTTCTTCTCCAAATCTACTCTCCACCTTTCTCATCCTGCTCTTTCCCCTGGGAGGCTGACCCCGTGACTGTGTCAGCCAGGCTCCTTTGCCTTTTGGTTCCTGATCTTTTCAGCCAATAGGAAATATATTTTTGAGAGACCAGAGAGTGAGAGGAGAGACAGTTTGGGCATTTATGCCTCTAGGTCTCTTTGCTGGGCTTCTCTTTGCCGTGGTTGCATTCGGAATGTCACAATCTCTCTCAGCTAAACCCTCCTGTATAGTTAGATTCCCATAGCCAGTCCTCACCTTACCCCTTCAGCAATAGGAAGATAATGTCTCCTGACTCTTCATTGTTGCCAGTCCCAGAGTATGTTACTAACAAATTCCTGTAATCCTGCCATCACCACCTTTACAAAACTCTCACAGCTTTCCCTTTTCAGTGGGGCATCTTCATTTGTTACCGAGACCAGCAATGACCCGTGAAGATGGTGGTGGTGAAAGTGGTTGTGGTGTTTTTTCTCCCAGCTTGTAGTCTGAGAATCCTAATACAGTAGGTTCTTGGGTTACATTGGAGATCCGTTCCTACGTAGCGACATAATACAATTTTTGCCGTAAATTGGAACCCACCTACATAAACACCTACGCCACTCACAGGGAGCACATACACAGCAGTAATGAAGTGAAACAGTAAAAAGAATTTAAAAGAAAGATAACAATTTCTGACTTTTACTTGAGGTAAATAAATAATAAACATAAAGCACATATGTACATATGCCGAAATGACGAAACTTTTTAAAAATAAATACTGTAAATGGGAGATGGAGATGTAACCATAAAATGATGTAAGTCGAGTCCGACATAACCCGAGGACTGCCTGTATGTAACTCATGTAGAAAGGCTGGAGAATTGTGCAGAGGCTAGCAAGGTGCTCACTGTATTAGTTATCTATTATTACTGTGTTATAAGTTATCCAAACTTAGTGGCTTAAAACAATAATAATAATTTATTATTTCTTATTATTTTTTGCAAGTCAGGAATTTCATAGATACAGCAGGATAGCTCATTTCCTTTTTTAAAAATATATTTTTATTGATTTCAGAGAGGAAGGGAGAGGGAGGGAGAGATAGAAACATCAATGATGAGAGAGAATCATTAATCAGCTGCCTCCCACATGCTCCACATTGGGGATCAAGCCTGCAACCCAGGCATGTGGCATGTGCTTTCACTGGGAATCAAACCCTGACTTCCTAGTTCGTAGGTTGATGCTCAGCCACTGAGCTATGCCGTCCGGGCAGGATAGCTCATTTCTGCTACATCATGTCTAGAGCTTTCTGTAGAAAGCTGAAGACTTATTCACTTACATGTCTAACAGTTGATCCTGGCTCTTGGCTAGGGAACTATTTGGGGCTGTCTGCTGGAACATACACATGTGGCCTCTCTATGTGGCCCAGGCTTCATCACAATATTGTGGCTAAAGTCCAAAGATAAGCATTTAGAGGCACAGAGAGAGTGAGCCATTCTGTCTTTTACAGAATAGTCTTAGAAGCCATGCACTGGCACTTCCACTCTGTTCTGCACGTGGAGATAGCTATAAAGCTCCATCTAGATTCAAGAGGAGGGAATGTAGGCCCATCACCCAGAGGAGGAGTGTTGATGTCTATGATTTATTGTTGGCTGTATGATGTGGACTAAAATGATGTAAGCCACTTCTAGAACTACACACAATGCTCCATGTGCTACCCACTCCTTTTTTCCCCATGCAGTGGCAGCAGTGCAGAATACACGTTGAAGATGATAATGACACTAAAGTCAAGGGACCTGGATCTCTGAGTCATCACTTGGAGGAGCACCAAGCAATCCACATTGGTGTTTGTGAGTGTGATAATTAAGCTTTTCACGTGTCAATTCTCTAAGATCTGGTCATTGCTATAGGAATTTTATCCCTTTCTCCAAACTTTGTCTGAGCCAATGTATTTCTATTCCTGTATTAATAGCACATCTTTCAGTATGATAAATCTGTGATGAAAACTAGACACCAGAATTAATTCTGCTTCCTTATAATCTATGCACCTACTCCCACTGTAAGTAGTACTGAGCAGTAAAATGATCATAAAAGAGAAGAATAAAGTCATGGGACTGCCCAGGTCTTGACCAACATGATCACTGACTCTATCCAAGAAGATCGTGATCACATCAAACAGTGGAAAAGGGAAAATGTTGAGATAACTTTGGTAAATATTCATTCCTTCTTTGGAGGATCTTGGGGAAAACGGAGGTTGTGTTGGAAATGATTGGCAGGCAGGTGTCTGCAGGGGGCCTTACCACACCAGAGAAGACATTGCCTGAAGAAGGAAGTGTGCATGATGTTTGTCCCAATAAAAAGCCTGGGGGGAACAGCCATAAAGTGATATTTAGAACAGATGCTTTTATAAGGATCCTGCTTATAGGCCTATAGAGGATTATTACTGGGCTTGGAAACCACATTTCCATTCTTCCCCCCCTCCCCACATTCTGTAATTAAGCAAGACTCCTAGTGTTAAATGTATGTGTAAAGTGACATGCTTAGAGGATACATTTTTTAAAGGTTTTATTTGGAAAGAATTTTGACAATAATAATAAGTTCAATAGTAGGAAAATAATACAGATAATAATTTCAAGAAATAATATTTTTTCCTAAACTGAGAGAAAGTTGCACACATCCTGGCTCTTTACTCCTAATTTTTTTTTTTCTATTTGCTCTTAAATATTTCAGTGTATATTTTCTAGGAGTAAAGATATTTTTACATATCCATAGTACAACGATCAACCTCAGTAAATTTAACATTGACAATATTTTATCTAATCCACCATCAGTATTCAGATTATATTATTGAGTCAATGATATACATTTAGCATTTCGCCCTCTAACATATGTTTTTAGTCTCTATTATCTCCTTTAACCTGGAACAGTTATATAACCTTTCTTTGCACTTTTGATATTATATTTTTGAATGATACAATTCCATATTTTTCTTTATCCTGTTTCCTCATGATTAGATTCAGGCTGTGCATCCCTGGCAAGTGTATGTTTAAGATTTTAGGGGACTGATCAACTGTTTTCTAAAGTTGCCATGGCCATTTTCACTTTCATAGCAATGTATGAGAGTTCTGTGTCTTGATATTGCCAGCATTTTCTTAAAAGAAATCTTAATATGGCCATCTTTTCATATGATTATTTGTCCATATATCTTATGTGATGAAGTGTCTGTTCAAATTTTTTTTGTTGGATTTTTCCTTTTATTGAATTAGAAAGTTTTCTAAAGTATTCTGGGTAAGTTCTTTATCTGAAATGTGTTTTGTAAATATTGTCCCAGTTGGTTGGCTTGTCTTCTCATTTGTTAACAGTGACTTTTTAAGAATAGATTTTCATTTTGGTAAAGTTCAATTTATCAACTTTTCTTCATGTGTTGTATTTTTGGTATTATATTTAAGAAATACTTATCTAATCCAAGATCACAAAGATTTTCTGCTATGTTTAATTTCAAATTTAGGTTTATAATCTATTTTTAATTTATTTTGATATATGGCATAAAGTACAGATTGGAGCTATATTTTCCATGGTTAATTTTTAATTTGTTATTAAATTAACTGCAAAGGAGTTATTAAGTCAAAGAGACATCTTACCAATGATGGAGTCTTTAACTAAAAGAAGTACAAGAAATATAATACTAATGCTGCCTGGCTTAGTTTTAACAAGCCAGGCAGCATTAGTACTTAGAGTCAAGGTAGACTACATGCTCACCTAATATCGATAGTGTGTCTTGACTGTTAAAATAGGTTGACAAGGTGGCATTCAGGTCAAAGGAGGTACTAATCCTATTATTTTCCATGCTGGACAAGCTATTTTGAATTGAAGTTAAGTTTTGTGTGATTCTTTTTTTTTTACACTGACAAAAAGAAAGAAGGATGAGAATAATCTTTTTAGGTTTGGCCTATATGGGTGGGGTCAGGAAGGTGTGAGGACACTGAAGGGCTGGACATCATTTCTGAGGAGCAATGAAGAGTCTGTTCTTTGGAAAGGCAGCCCAGGGTTAAAACTCATACTTTGACATCAGCCAAACTGTTCTTATTTTTTATTTTGTTAAAATATATTTTAGTGAGAGGAAGAGAGAGGGATAGAGAGTTAGAAATATTGATGAATGAGAAACATCAATCAGCTGCCTCTTGCACACCCCCTACTGTACCTTGTGTCCACAACCAAGGTACATGCCCTTGACTGAAATTGAACCTGGGACCCTTCAGTTCACAGGCTTACACTCTATCCACTGAGCCAAACCGGTTTCAGCCAAACTGTTTTTAAATCTCAATCCTTTATCACTCTGACTGTAGAACTTTAAGTGACTTACTTAACCTCTCTGAATTAGTTGTTGTTGTTGTTGTTTTCATTCTCACAAAATATAGGCAAGAAAATCCCTTATCTCATAGTTTTTTGTGTTTTTTATTTAGCCTTTTATTTATTTTTAAAATATATTTTATTGGTTTTTTTACAGAGAGGAAGGGAGAGGGGTAGAGAGTTGGAAACATCGATGAGAGAGAAACATCAGTCAGCTGTCTCCTGCACCCCCCCCCCACTGGGTATGTGCCTGCAACCAAAGTACATGCCCTTGACTAGAATCAAACCTGGGACCCTTGAGTCCACAGGCTGATGCTGTAGCCACTGAGACAAATCAGTTAGGGCCTATCTCAAAGTTTTTGTCATGAGCAATTAAAAAAAGATAATCCATGTTAAATGTTTAATTCAATGCCTGGAGTTTTGTATGTGCTTAAAAAATGCTAGCTGTTTTATTTGTTTGTTTTGTTTTGCTGTTTATTATTTTTCCACTGAAGTTTTAATAATTGAGTTTCTACCTTGTATCAGGCACTGGGGGCATCAAAATGAGATAATTCCTTAAGAAGCTTAGCCTTGTAGAATTGGAAATTGGACCAATAGAGGCAGGCTAGTAGGAACTAAATTTGGCTGTTTACATAAGAGCTATCTTATGTGCTCGTGTGTGCATGTGTGTTTGTGTGCTGTGTGAGGTATGACTGAGGATGTGTACATTTATCATGGTGGAATTTTTGTTTTCCTTTATAGAGATAGTAAGCCAAGGAGGCATCTTTGAGATGATGGAATCTTCAGATTGATAGAAATATGATAAATGAAAGGTTAATGAGCCATCTGAGTCAGCCTGGGGGTAAAAGGTCAACCATAGTTTTCCAGAGGGCTGACCCTTGAACTAAGACCTGAAGGAATCAGCCAACCTGGTGTAGGGTGGGGCAGGGCATAGAAGGTGGTCCACACTGAGCAGTCAGCCAGTTTTCTAGAGCACAGTGGCCAAGAGCATGGGTTTTGGAGGTAGATAGACCTGATTTTGACATTTCTGGGCAAATGACTTAATTTCTTTGAACCTCATTTTCTTCACTTGTGAGGCAGGAATTTGTATACCCCACATACTTATATGGATGGCAGGACAATTGTGTAGCTCCTAGTGAAAAACCAATAGGCTTAACTGTTTTTCTAATTATCTTCATAACTCAAGTGATCTAAATCATCTGGAGCAGAGGATGAAGCAGGGAATGGTGGAGTAGCCTTGAGAGGCAGAAGGGACAGAAGATAAATGGGCTGGGTTGTAGGTTAAGGAAGGTAGATGTTATCTCTGAGACAATGATTAGCCAGGGAAGAGTCTTAAGCAAATAGTACAAATTTTTTATAAAAGCACTTGGGCACCAGACAGGACAATAAATTGCAGGAGGTCTGATTGTAGGCAGGGAGCTTGCTGAGCAACCAAAGCCATGCAAGGGGATAAAGAGTAGAGGGCAGAGTGGGCAGCATTCAAGAGGCAGCACCAGAGGCTTGGTTGACTGTCAATGGTGAAGTGAGAACTGGAGGTGCGCATGACTTCCAGGCATCTGACTTACATGAGACAGGAGAAGATGGCATGGAACAAATTTGAGGGAAAGAAAATGTGTTCACATTCATCTTGTGGTAGCTGTGATCCATCACATGGAGAAGCTCTGTGGGCAGTAATAGTTAAGTCTAGAGTCTAAACTTAAAGGAAGGATCTTCCCTGGGGAAGCTGACATGGTAGGTGTCAACAGAATCTTTAGTGAAGACTGATGTTGAGCAACAGCCAAATAGCCTATGTTTACATGCCTTCTCTAACTGATTGACCTTGAACACATTGTTTTCTGACCTCAGTTTCCTTGTCTGTTTAGGGCAAAACTGTATGGCACATAATATAACACATCCATATAATATTATTCTCATTTTGCAGCTGAGCAAGCTGAGTCCCAGAGAGGTTGAAAGATTTGCTCAAAGTCACACCATTGGGTAGCAGGTTTTTTGTGGGAGCTAGATTCCAATTCTGCAGGTGGCAGGCATCTCTCTGGGTAGCTCTCCAAGCATCAGGCCTGGAGAATGACTTTAAGTCCTTTAGAAGTGCTTTGTTCTTTCCTTCCTGCCCCCACTGGCCTTTGTTCCTGGCTGAGCTAATTTGGCTCAGTGGTTAATTAACACACTCCAAAGTTAAGGAGAACAATGACAGGAGTACTGGTATTTCCTCTACCTGGCTTTTCATTTTTAGGAGGTGGGATGTGGGGGATGGGAGGGCTTGCATTCATACCCACTCTTCTAAGTTGTTTCCTCAGTCACATGATGTGCTCAAATTCTGTCTCTTCCTAAACCCAGCTTCTGGTGCTGTGACATCTTTAGTAGGTTCATGGGTTTACCTGGTGACCACCAGAACCCATTTGTGAGAAAGCTGAAGTTTTTTTTCTTCTTCTTTTTTCCTGGAAAGTAATCTGCCTCTATCTGCAAGGACAGAGAAGACCAGGGGACACCAACGAGGGTTTACCAGATAACCAATGATAACATATTTGACCTCATAATGTTCCCTAAAGCTCTGTGGTGGTGCTCTGGCTTGCCAATGCTCAGAAACATGCACAGAAGCTGTCAAGTTTGTGCTACAAGCTTTGTGCTACACTTATATAAGTCCTCAATTTGTAAAAAGGTCTATTGTGATCTCTACAGATTGGGGCAAGGTTTCTTACTAATCCAGCCTCTGAAGGTTACCAGGCCTGTTTATTTCTGGTCACAGGAAAGGCTCTTAGAGAATTTTCAGAATCTCTTCTTCTTCTTCTTCTTCTTCTTCTTCTTCTTCTTCTTCTTCTTCTTCTTCTTCTTCCTAACCTTGGGATTCAGAAAGGCTAATAA